CTGCTGAAGCAGAAGATGTTTCCAAGATATGATCCACAAAAGAAGAAAACCCTCTTTCCACAGCCAAGAACAAAGGGGTTACATTGCCATTGTCGGCCATATCCAACAAATGAGAATCTTCTTCCACCAGGAATTTCGCCACGTCGATGTGACCGTTCTTCAATGCAACGTGCAGCGCAGTCTCCCCATGCTTATTTTTCACCCTCAGTAGCTGCTTCTGCGCGTCCATCGTCGAGTTCTCGATATCTGAAGCTACACGTTTAGCTGAACTGACCATCGATCTTGAAACACGGGAGGAACCTGCAGTAGCAGCTACATGGAGTGGTGTATCGCCTTTTGTGTTTGTTCTCAGTAGGAGAGATGGGCAAAGTCTGAGTACGGCTTCGGCGAAACATCCATTCGATATTTCTTTTCTCTTCGAAAAATCGACATCAACATGCATCACGTGAAATTTAGCCATCAGAAAATAACACAGGGGAGGCCTAGAAGCAGCCTCTTGTAGATATTTCTGTAAGCTAAGGTTTACCTACAATACACCCTTGTGGTGGGACCCTTCCCCGGACCCCGCTCAACGGGAACTTTTGTGCACCGGGATGCCCCTTTTAAACTTACCAAATTAGCGGCGAAACCTGGAAGTGTATAATTGCAAATTAAACTAAAAGGTTTTTAGATACAAGCTTAAGTTCTGCAGTTTCAAATCGAAGGGCTCTGGTCTTGTGTTCTAGCATCTTGTCTTCCACGTCAGGGTTGACATTGTCGGGGATGATACCATACCGTCAACCGCCATTGTTTGATCTGTTGTCTCTTAGGCTCTTTCCTGAGTATAAAAAACATTATATTGTAATAAATATACAATTTGCCTTCATCTTCTTGATGAAGCTGCAGGATGAGCTTGTTTGGATCCAGACCAGAATACTCTCGAACTCAATGAAACAAAACAGAACTGCGTAAGAATTGATACGTGCTGATAGAAAATCGTTATGGGAAGTAATGCTAATTCCGAACTCCAACTCTTCAATAAACCCTAACAAACAGAAAGCGTAGCAAAAATCTGAAACGACGATTCGGGTTTTGGAACATAAAATCAAGATGTGACGGGAAAAAATCTCAGAACGTCTGCTTTTTTCGCAAAACCGAAAGAAGAGCAGAAAGTCGAGTTTCCGACCAAAAGATGTTGATTCTTGGGATTTCGGAACATTGTCACAGACTCTTCTACGCGAATTGGCGATCGGGATTTCGACAAACACCTTTCGTGGAAACGAACAGATGCCTTGGAGAATATCGATCCCTGATCATTTCTCAAAAGAATCAACAAGATGCTGAACCAACCACAAGAATCAGTGTCTTCCTTCTTCTTCTTTGGACATCTTACTAGGTTTAGGGTTGGAAACAACCCAATCTGTAAATCTCTCTGCTCCACTATCCTATGTGAAACCACTTAGACTAGTCAAATAAACTCCAAAAACAAAGAGATTGTCGATTAATTTATAAGTTATTGCAGACTAACTTTCGTGGATCAGTCACGGATTCGAAAAGAACTCCACAAAAACAAAACACAGATCCGATGACAAGCCGAGAATTCGAACAGGACAAAACAGATTACCTTGGAGAGATTAAAGAAGAAAAACAACGGCTTCTTTGTGTTTGGAGACTTGGATCTTGTAGCAAGAAAGTGCCTTTGTTTGGTTTCTCGGAAAATTAAAATTAGAGAACCGTTGGGAGTGGTGGCCTGCTTAAATCTCACGATGATAGCCAATGATACTCTGACGCGTGTTGGTCTCCTGGTGGTCCGTGTATTTTCCATTTTGCCCTTTCTCAAATGGGCCAGATCTCTTCTTATGGGCCTAGGAGAAATTTATTTATTTATTTTTGCATGTTTTGATTTTTTTTTTGTAATATAATAGTGTTTTGTGTAATAAAAAACAATATTTATTTTTTTATACTCGTGACCGCGTGGCTACTAATAAAAAACCAAACTATTATATTTATTTCTTTTTTTTTTTATGAAAACAACGGGACACATGTAACAATCATATGACCGTGAATATTGTTGATATTTACGTGTTTAACAACGTTGGTATAGAAACAAGAATTCCAACATTAAAAAAAAAAAGTCATTACAAACAACAAGAGTATCAAAGCCATTTTGGTATGTCGGTCCACTAACATTACAGAATAGTGATTTTGGGATCCAACGATTTTGATATCCACCTGGGTCCGGGGTCCCCCATTATATATTTGAAATCGAATACAGTCATTTAATGTTTTCACTTGTATCCGTCAGTTTTTTAAAAAAAATATTATTTGGCGGTCAAATTAATTCGGGACAAATTTAATTGCCTCGTCGTGACTTATATCTATTATTTGTTAAACGAAATATAGGAGCTAAGCAATAATAAGGCAACAAAAACTTTTTTATATATATAATCAAGGCAACGTTAACTTATTTTATCGTATCATGCAATAGCCAAAATAGTATATATATTAAAATAATTATTATTTTTTGTGATTATTAATCAAATGGGAACATTTTAGAAATATAATACAGTTTTATAATTTTTTTTTAACATAATAACAATTCAAACTAAATAGATCCATTATCCATGTGTTCCTAGATTGAAAGTAGAGTTTCAGACACTATGAAATCATACATGTTTTAGCTATTTTTAATCATTGTAAAAAAAATCAGACATACAATTTACTATATTTTAATTAAATAATAAAATTTTAAATTGGACGTAAATTAAAACAATATATAAACTTTAAATTATATAAAATCTTCTTATGATAAATATATATATAAACTCAATATACGACTGATATTGAACAACTTCAGTGTGACAAGGTACATGATCATAGATAGTATTATATATATGCGTATCTTATACGAGCATAAAAAGTGCATGCATGCACGTATACGTACGTGTCTGCACGTAGACGTGCATGTGTATATAATTATATATGTATATGTATATATATGCATGCATTGATTTGCACTTATTGCTATCATGCAAAAAAGCTGCATTTTTTTTTAAAGAGAGTTAGGAGGGAAAAATCTTTTCCCGAAAATGGACGCGATCATTTTGACCGTCGTTTGAACTTTGGAAGGTGGGAACTCAGAGGATTTATTTTGATTTAAATATTTATATATATATATAGATATGGGTTCGATCCATGATATATGAATGAATGCAAGGAGATAGATTTGAAGTCAGAAGAGATTGGGTCGGGGTTTTCTTAAATGGAGCAAACGGACACCGTCAGTTCCCGTGTCGCCGTTAACTAACGCTGTCAACTTTGAAGCCCTAACTTTCACGTGTTATCCGATGATGTTTTATTATCGGTGACAAAAAACACACACACGACATTTATATACATTGAGAGCGCACATTATATGATATTTTCATACCGAATATATAATGTATAGAAAAAAAAACGAAATTGCAATTTATACATTGATTTTCAAGTATTTGGAACTTCGAAAATTTTGTTTGTTTTGTTCAATATTTTGAAATGTTCAATTCATACATGATAGTATTTTAAATAATTGTAGACGGGTCGAATACTTGAAAATGATTTTATTTTTTGGATTTGTAAAATTACACTACTATCCAAATAATTTACATTTTTATGTCTCAAACCTTATAAACCTATGTACATAGTTTAGATTAGGCTCTTTATAATTCGACCGTCTATAGAATTCTATCAAAATACTTTTCTTTTTATAATTATGAATAATTTCTATATTAAGGTTCTAGCGTCAAACATGGAGCATTATCCAATTCTCCTTGAATTTTTTTTTGATAACGGATTAACTCTAACTGCTACCCTTCGGACGTACTGACTAGGTAAACGGCCTCCGGTCCGGAAGCAGCCTTTGTATATGGATCATATAAACCCAGAAATTACCTCCCTCCCCACCAGACAGAAATCGAACACTCAATCTCAAGGTGGAGTTCCCTCATACCCCAAACTTGACCACTCGTCCTCGATCTGTTGGGGTTCTCCTTGAAATTTTGATTGTAACTGTTATTTTATTGCAAATTTATGGATGCTATGCAAATAACAATTCGAGTTTAGATAAGGACAATGTACTAGTCTAATTTTCTAGGACTAATAAAACGGTTACGGCGGACAAAAAAAAAGGAATCATATATTATACAATACAGCCATCTACAAAATCCAAATATGTAAATAAAAATATATATTTATGTAAGCATGAACCCGAATTATGAACAGAAAAAAAAACAGAGAGAAAAAAGTATTAAAATACAAATAACTCTTTTATAAAAAAAAATACAAATAACTCGAAATACATAAAAAAAGGACAAAACAGCGAAAGAAAAACAAATCACAGATTCAAAACAGCCACCGCCAAAAACAGAGCCAAATATTTGAGGAGAGAGAGAGAGAGAGAGAGAGAGAGAGAGAGAGAGAGAGAGAGATTTTGTTTTGTTGCCTTGTGTGAGAGAGAGAGAGACATTCAAATCCGTTTGTCTGGAAAGTCACAAGGGAGAAGAAGATTGAGAGAGAGGGGCTAAAGCTGGTGCTCGAGGATCTTTGTCGGATCAGACAAGATTTGTAAGAAAACGTTGTTTTCCCATTTCTTTGTTTGAAAAAATTTACCCTTTCTGGTTCTTGTTTTCTGTTCTTCCTAAAACCAAAATGTGGTTTGATCTGTGAAACCATACCCAAATCTTGAACCTTTTGTCCCTTTTCCCGATGAAATCCTACCTGGGTTTCGTCCGATGTCCGTATCTTCATCATAAAACCTGTTCATTAACGTCAAAATCCGATCTTTTGAAAATGGATTGGATTTCACCATCTGGGTTATGCATGTCGGTTCAATTTGGAATCGAACACCACCAGTTCGATCTTCAAACCGCATCTCTGCTCGTTCTTGGAATAGTTATATTCAATAAAAAAACAAGGGCATTGTTCAAATGAAACAAACAAGAGGGGTTAAGGTCTTAATCCCTGAAAATCTAAGATGCAGTTAAAGAACACATTGAATTCATAACACTTTGATCGGATTGAATCTGTTCTCAAGGATGTTTATGTGTGAGTTACCGTCTCGTTTGATGATTTATGCTTGTGGATATGGCTTCTATGTATATGCAGTGGAATGGGAAGGGAAGTCATTCCGACCAGCGCTAGGGTTCATGTAGCTCCCAAGATTGCTGCAGAGAAGCCTGAGGAAGACAACGAGAACATCCACGAAACCCTAAACGTCGAAAGCGAGAGATCGTTGCCTCATAAATCGGATAAACCCTTCGAAGTTGCCACAAAGGATCTGAAGGTATAGTTCTTGGATTCTTTTTTTCACAACACAAGATTCTGCAGATCATCTTCCTTGGCAGAGATAATCATTGGTTTCAGTTTCTTTTTCCGGGGATTACATCGTTGTGATTCGTTCTTTTTCGTGTTTTTTCAGAACGATTCTCCTCTCACAGCGAGGAAGCCATTGCAGCCTGAGAACAAGAATCATGCTGATGAAGAAGACAACTGTTCTGTTGCTTCTTCGTATCCTTTTGTAACTGTATGTAACTCTTTCGTATTTATACGTATATTTAGGTACATATACATACGTATTTCGATGATCCTTAACCAATACTTTATCAAGAACCATATCCTCGAGGATGAGTAAGTCCAGAACTGTAACATATGGATGTGCCCCAACGTTTAGAAGTGCAGAACGTGCCGAGAAACGCAGGGAGGTAATCTATTCCCCCCCGAAAACTTCGTCTTTCCTGCCTCGTCTCTCTCCGGTTACCGAGTTAAAACAGATCAGTGACTCTAAATCCGTATATATTCGTATAAGTCGAAACCCGTAATCATTTTCTTTCAGGGTTTTGCGCTGAATAAAACCGTCGATAATACATTTTACCTTTCTCTGCTCTGTGATTTTGAATGAATCAGTACTACCAGAAGCTTGAAGAGAAACAGCAAGCCCTTGAAGCCGAGAAGAGCGAACTCGAAAAAAGACAAAAGGTTGTCTGCACATTCATATGTAAACATGTCGGAAGAATAGATCTAGTTCTGACTGAACTTTTTCGGATTGTTTTCGGTGTAGGACGAGCAAGAAGCGGTGATTAAACAGCTAAGGAAAAGCCTCGTTTTCAAAGCGAATCCCGTCCCGAACTTCTACTACGAGAAACCTACCCCAAAACCCGAGCTGAAGAAGGTATTGAACCCGGAAAGAAACTCTCTTTTCCATCTCTCTTCTTTGATGCAAAAAAGAAAAAAAAAAAACTAATCTGTGTTGTTTTTCGGATGAACTCTCTAAGGCTCCGTTGACGCGTCCTAAGTCCCCGAAACTCATCCTCTCTCGAAGAAAGAGCTTCAGCGACACGATGAACTCATCTTCCCGCAACGAAAACGGGAAGAACCGTCACAGCATTTCTACGTTCCGAGATGAGGAAGATTCCAAGAACAAGAACACTGAATCAAGAACCGAAACGTCTGTTATCGGTACCGATGCTCGTGAACTAGCTCGGAATGGGTCCCGTGGTGAGGCTGTGAAGGCGAAAAACGGGCTAAAACGTGTGAACGAGAACAGGGAAGAAGATGCTTCCTTTGATGCAGGGGAGGCTTGAGGCCTGTTCTTGGCCTCTGTTCTAAGACCAAACTTGATGTACCGGAGAAAACCGAACCCGGTTATCGGTTTTGTCCGGTTTGGTACCACAAACAGTCGCTTATTTTGTATTTTTTTGGGTTTCGGCTTTGATTTCACTTTGAATTTGTGTTGAACTCCTAATGCGGGAACTGTATATTTTGGGATTTAACTTTTAAAGATTTTCAATTAAGTTTTATAATTTTAAATTAACATATATTTAGTAGAGGATAAAACGGTAACTTTGTTCTGGTAAATTGGGAAGAAAAAAAAACGAAAATGGATAATGTAATGTCACGCTATTATCTTCGCTCCCTCCAAAAACTCAACCATGGCTTCTTCTTCTTCCATGATTCCTCTGTCGTCTTCGTTCCTTCAACCACTGAAATTCAAAACCCTAGAAAGGCCCTTAAAAACCAGTCTACCTATCAAAACAATCCCAACAACCTGCGATTCCCAGAAGCACAATAAACCTCCAAAACCCGCCCGGAAAAACCCTGACTTCCCGAAACGGCGGAAATTCTCCAAGTATGGAACCTCTCGAAGGTCGATCCTCAAGAAATCGTTCGTGCAAGAGCAGGTCACCTTCAACGCGCCGGTCTCCGCCGACCCTCACGTGGCTGTCATCGGCGGTGGAATGGCGGGCCTCGTCTGCGCCCTGAATTTGGAGGCGCGTGGCGTCCGATCCACGGTTTTCGATACGGTTGGTCTGTCTGGTTCTCTTGGAGAAACTTATCTGATTGTGGGTTTTGTTAGTTTTATTATCTGGGATCGCATGATTTCTCGGTGTTTTTGGTGTCGTATGTTCATGCGTAAAGATCCAAGCTTTGTCCGAGCAAACGAGATATCACGCGAACTTGAGTCTCTTTAGGCTGCGGGATGACTGTTGGATAAAGTTTGGCTATTGAATCGAATAGTTAATCGACTGGAAATGGGAGATAGTGGGTACACGAACGTTTTGCTTGTAGTGAAGTGTGGGAGAAATTTCTGTATTACTGTGCTTAGATTCTGATTGCTTGATCGATAACGAGATAATGTCTGGAGAAGAGAGATCGAATGGAAAGTAAAAGAGACCCAAGAGGACTGAAATCAACACTAGCTTCGATGATGATCACTTGTTAATGCAGTTAAAGAAATTGGATTTACAATGGTTTCAGGAGTTAACGACTGAGAAGTTTGTGTGGAAAACTATCAAATCATATCATATGACATCATATCATATAACCATGCAGGGTATACATGGGTTAGGAGGAAGACTGGGAACAAGGATCATTGAGCCACAAGGACTGGTTTTCGATCATGCTGCCCAGTTCTTCACTGTCAATGATTCTCGGTTTGCCCAGTTGGTCGATCTCTGGTTAGAGAGAGGACTTGTCCGAGAATGGAAAGGCACTGTAGGAGAGCTTCAAATAGGAGGAAGGTTTTCACCATTTCCTTCATCCCCTCCAAGATACATTGCTGTTAATGGCATGCGCCCTTTTGCTGATGCATTGTTATCAGAGGTGATTGTTTTTCTCCAATGGTTTTCTCTTTCCTTCCCCGTGTTTCTGCATTCAATGAATTAGGAACTTGATTGGCTCTGGTTTTTCACAGACACGTATGGTAAATGTGGTCAGACCTTGTTGGATAAGTACACTCGAGCCGTTTAACGGGATGTGGCACTTAAGTGAGAATGGAAAACCTCGTGGAGAGTTCGATGTGATTGTAATTGCTCATAACGGTAAGAAACCATATTTGTCTCTCTTCATAGTTTCAGTTGTTTTTCACTTCAGCATCTTCCTTTCTTTCAGGTAAATGTGCCAATCGCTTGCTTTCTTCATCAGGCTTGCCGCTTGTTGCCAGACAGATGAAGGTATGTGCTTAACTAAACCACCATTTTTCTAACTCGCAGACTTTTCGATATGATCCTGTCTAATCTCTGGGATTCTTTCTGTCCTTTAGAGATTGGATCTGAGTTCCATATGGGCACTTTTAGCAGCTTTTGACGAGCCTCTCCCAACCGTGAACTTTGAAGGAGCGTTTGTTAAAGGAGTAGAGCCGTTATCTTGGATGGGAAATAACTCTGCAAAGCTTATGAAGTCCTCCAATGGTGGAGGGCCTCATTGCTGGACTTTCTTCAGCACTGAAGCCTATGGTAAACAGAACAAAGTCCCACAGGTCAGTCTCTTTCTCCTCAAATTTCACCAAGTGGAATGTCAAAATAGTAGTCTTTAATGTTCTTTCAGGCATTCACTACTCACTCATGAAAGTTCCCACCTTTCAAAAGGAAAACATTCCGACCGCCACAGCGGAGAAAGTTAAAGCGGGAATGCTTAGAGGCGTAGAAGCTGCACTCGGGTTGCCACAAGACTCGCTTCCAAAGCCCGTTTACACGCGTCTCCAGCTATGGTAGGTACTTTAGAATCCATTCCCTTAACAGCTTGTTTCGGGAAACGAAACCCTAAAACAAGAATCTGCTGAGTGCAGGGGAGCAGCTCTTCC